GTTGCAGGAGGGGAGAGGGGACCCAGACGCAGGGAGAGGGGGCTGCGAGAGCCAGTGCGGCTCTGAAGGCCTTCTGGCACAGTCCAGCTCGACGCTCGCATCCACCCCACTCCTCTCCTTTCTGGGGAAGCTCTGTCACTGTGTAAACATGTCTGCACATAGTTTTGGTAAGGAGAAGCACAAGAGCAGGCGCAGAAGCGCCCATGCTCCTCTTCTCAACAGGAAGGGTCAAAAAGCAGCCGGCCTGCTGGAAGCGCCAGAGGAGGGCCAAGAACTGGGGGGGGGGGGGCTTCCATGGCCCGCCTGCACGCCTGGAACCGCCGCAGGGCCCATGCGCAGGGCGACGGCTCCTCTGGCAGCCCCACGTGACCCGCGGCCCCGGCACCTGGCGTTCTTGTTGGCGTCGGCGCGCAGCATCTTCACGGCCAATAGGACCGGCTGGCCCGGGTCTCCATCCAGAGCAGAATCCTTGTCCCCCAACGTCTCCGGTCCCTCCACTTCGCACAGGTGCACCTGCAGGGGAGGCAAGCAGGGGCCGCGGTGAAAAGCCTGGGGGCCTTTCACATCCACCGAGCGGGAACAGCCGACGTTCAGCAAGCAAGGGAGGCAGCTGCACACCCCCACCGCCACCCCCCGTGCCGCACTCAGCAAGAACGCATCTTGCTCCTTTCCCCTGCCAGGGTCAGGGCTGCCGGTGAATTTTCTGGAAGGACAGAGGGTAGGTGGAATGAAAACAAGATGCTTTCTGGAGCCTTGTTATCCATGCCGGGATGCTTCACAGACACAACAATATTCCTGCCAACTTTACACAGCGGCGAAAACCAACACAATCACCCAGAAGAGTTTTGTCCGATTATCAACCCTCTGGCCCTGAATCTGCAAGATAAGCTGCTTCTTCTGATGGGGGAAATTTGTTGTATGTGGTTGTTTTGTTTTTTGTAAACTGTCCAGAGACTTTAGTATTGGATAGTACATAAAAACTTTAAATGAATGAATGTTTTAAAAACCGGGTGTTCTGGTTGCCTGGAAATGGGTTGATCATTCCAGCATGGTCTCTTGTCTGGGTCAGGGTTTTAACAAACAAACACAACACAACTAGACAGTTAGCCTTGTAACACAAGACCTTCCTGTACTCAGGAAGGTGGCTATGTCCAGCTAGGAGGCGCATATTGGTCTCCAGGGAAACGTTCTTCACCCAACAATCTCTTCCAGTTCCTTTGCAAGTTTCACCTTTCTTCTAGTTTCTTGGCTTCAAATGGAAATCGATGATTGAGCTACAGCATCTTCCTCAATTTCAGTTTCTTCATCGTTGATAGGAAATGCCTGTAATTCTCCTGTGTTCCTGATTTTTGTCCCACTTTTGCCTCCGGGTCATTGGAAACATCACAATAAATTGCAAAGCCTGCTTCCGAGGAGGGACTGTGGGATGTGTGAACGCCACAGAAGCAACAAGGCCGGAGGACAAGACAGCCCTTCCTGACTCCGGGCGCTCCAAAGCCAGGAGCTGCACCGTCTGCTCAGGACTTGCAGCCTGAGGCCATGCAGGACCCTTCAGCTTCGGCTCTCTTTGTCAGAGCACAATACCCGGAAGACGGGGCGCTCTTTCTTGAAGTGCCCCTCTTCCTGGCCAGCTGGAGATGTCCTGCGACGGCACTGCAGCGTGCAGAAGGCACACCGTGGGCAGTCGGGGAAGGGCCGCGGCGCTGGTGCAGAGCTCAGGGTCTGCGAGGAGGCGCAAGCGGACGCGGGGGAGGGCCAGTGTGGCGTGCCGGGCTGACAGGCGGGTGGTCCGACCTGGGTCGCAGTCCCCAGCCAGCCAGTCGCTCCCTCTCAGCCCAGCCTACCTCACAGGGTTGTTGTTGTGAGGCTAGCGTGGAGAGGAGGGTCACCGTGTAAGTTATGCTGGGTTTCGTTCAAGCGGAAGCAAGGCAGGGGAAGATGTAATGTGATGATGATGATGGTGTGATTAACAGCCTTATGCTACTCGAACTGGCATTGTACTTGCTCTCATTTTATCTGCCTTTCCTTCTTTGGAGATTGTTAGTGTTATGCATTGCAATTAAAATGGGTTGCATTCGCACAGCTGCCCAGAAAGGAAACATTTTCCTGATTTTTAAAAGCTTCTTTTCAAACGCAGTAGCAAATCAAGGTTCCACTTTTTGTGCAGTCGAAAGCCGCCCTCGTGGGCGATCCCTTGGGAGCACAGAGCGGAGCGCCCAGGCCCTGGCCGCTGCTACCGGCAGCCACCCCGAGAGGGTTGCACTGGCGACGGCAGGAAAGACGCGCCGAGATGCCAGCGGGCGCTTTCCGGCTCCGTGGCCCTCATTTTCTCCCTCCCCCCTCCCCCCCCCAGCGGCAGCTCCGGAACGCCTCCCGAAGGCGCCCGAGAGCCTGCGGCCGGAGTCACCCAGCCAGTCCTCACCTCTCCAAACTGGCCTTCCCCCAGCTTCTCCCGGAAGGTCAGCAGCTTCCTCGGGAACTCGGGCACGGCCACATCCTTGCCGGACAGCAGGTCCATGGTCAGGGCGGGGACGGAGTAGGTGTTGCTCCCGGTCACGCCCTGCAGGTTCACAATGTCCGCCTCGGCGTAGTGGGGGACGCCTTCCCCTCCGCTGGGCTGGGCCGGCTTGCTGACCCCGCTGCAGCCTGGGCAGGAAGATGGAGGAGAAGAGGCACTCAGCCCGGCAGGCTCTCGGCTGAGTCTCCGTCCCCCACGGGGGGGGGGGGGCGCGGCGGCATGTGCTGGCTCGGGGGGGCGCGGGGAGAAGGGGTCGCCCAGATGCATGGCATCCCGGCCGGCACTCTGTCCTGCTCCCGCTGCGGAGGGTGCTGCGCACAACAAGCCAGTGCAACGTGATCCTCCCACCGCAGCTGCCTTGGAAAGGCGGCCAGCTGCGGGGGACGCAGAAGCCCCCCCCCCAGAAGAGCAAACCCCATTCCAAGTCATTTTGTTGGGGCGGGGGGGCATGGCTGGCTGGCTGTCCATCAGGGGCTTTTCTGAATAAGGGATGGCTGCATACTCATTCCTTACCATTGATCACAGGTCCATTCAGTTAAGTTGTGTCCCCCCCCCCCCCGTTTTGCTGCAGCACCTGCCTAATGCTTTTGGTGAATTCTTTCAGAGGGAGGGAAATGTGGCATTCATTGTGAAAACAATCATGGGTGTAATTTCCTCTGATGTGTTTGCAATATCCCACTAGACCACAGTGCCACCGAGGGGTTATACGGGGGAAAAGCCGGGAACAAAGCATTTTCCACGTAGGGCTCAGAACTTAATTCAGAGATGGAACCCAAAGCAGATACAGCCTTGTGCAGAACAGCTCCACTTCACCAGTCAGCATGTAAATGCAGGATCCGTCTTTTGGACTGGGCTGAAGCTAGAAAGTGATTCTGTCTGAGAGGATTTGGGAAGTCCAGGGAAATACGAGCGTTTTTCTAAGTAGGCTGTGAAAGCAGGCTTCTTGGGCAACAATACTTTTAACCGTAGAGAAAAGTAGTCATGGAGGGAGAGTCCAAAGAGGAGCTTGAGCAAATTCAGTGATTTTCCCTTGCTTTTCACAGTTTATTCTGTTTTTTCGTGCTACAGGTAGAGGCACAATAACCAGCACTCCCCTTCAATGGCTTAAGGTGTGGTTACTTCAAGGACTGCCTCTCTGCACATTAACATATCTGTGTATGATAAGCCTCAGCTTATCATACACAGATATGTTTTAATTTAGTTATCAGATAAGCTGAGAACAGGGCAAGCATCCAGGTGAGATCCTGGCACATCATTTCAAGCGGCAAAAGCAGAAAAATGTTGTTTCTGTTAGAAGAGCCATTTCATATATACCTTTCCTGCAGATGTAAATTTACATTTTAAAAGGCTTTATTCTGGCTTGTGTAGCAACTTCTTCTGGCTCCCTTGCATATGAAGAAACTTACAAAAGCAATTATGTGCATGAAGCACCTGGGAAACCCCCTGTCCCAGGTGGATTTCCAGGAATGCTATAAAACCTTCCCCCAAGTTAGTTCCAAGGCCACGTCATTTCTAGATCCACATTTTTAATCCGCTTCTCTCCCTTCTTGCTAAATGAGGCTTATACGGCTGCGATCTCAACGCCTGGCAAAAATCGTACCTGCTGTGAGAATTTTAATCTATTTCATTAATTAAAGTACATAGTAAGACTGCAATTTCAGCTGCTCAGCCAGGCATCGGCGGGGCCTCCCGGACACGGAACGGCTGCCCTGACCTGCCTCCTCCTCCACCGGCGGGAACTCGGGCAGCTTGCGGATCAGCCGCGACGGCTCCTGGTAGTCGGGGCCCAGGGGAAATATGCGGTCGTAGGTGGAGTTGGTCTCTCGCTCACTGGATGAGGTGGAGCGGTTGCGGTTGAACATGCTGGAGTCGCTGGGCAGGGAGAGGCTGACGGTCATTTCGTCGTCCAACATCCGGCGGGAGGCCTGGAAGGCAGGAGAAGGCGCCTCAGGGTCTCCTTCCTGCCACGGAGTGGGAGACCAGGGGAGCCCCGCTCGGGGAGTGGCACGAAGTGAGAGAGAGGCGCTTGCGCCATTCGGATGCTGACGGAGTTTCGCTCTGATCCGGCAGGGCCTTTCTCACGTTCTTAATGCTTGTTCTGCGAGCGCACTTGCGGGTTACACAGAGCTCTTCACCGGGCTAGTCTGCAAATCCGCATTCCGCCATACTGGCGGGATGGAAGTCACAAAAGGGGAAGTGGGGAGACCCCACAGAGGCCTGCTGAGTGTGAAAGACGGAGAGGGAGAAAGGGGGGGTTGCACGAACCCGAACTGAAATTATTATAAGCCGTCCAGAGACGAAAGTGATGGATGGCCTAGAAATACCCTAAATAAATAATAAAGCAGGATGGGGAGTGAGGGAGGGCTTCCCGCCTGAGGCTTTTATGATGAGCTCATCCTTCCCGGCTCAGGATGATGCGGTGGCCCTCCAGCTGCACTTCGGTTGTCAAGGGGTGGTTTTTTTTTCTAAGAGCAGGGAACAGGCAGTAAGATATAAGGAAAGCCGAGGGCAATGTGAGCTCCCCACAGCCTTGTGCAATTCCCCCAAACCACCCAGAGGTAAAGCAGTGGAAAACGACACGGGGAACGCCGCTTGGGCTTCGATCGCAATTCTGTGCTGGAACCAAAGGCAGCCGCAGCCGATTCAGACCCTTGCGCGGAAAAGCTCAGAAAGTGTGTGTCGGAGAATGAATGGACTACATGAATGAAAGAAATGAAATCTAGAATCGTCACTCATGGATGGATGGATGGATGGATGGAGGGGAATGCGTCTGCCCCTTTGGGGTCTGATTCTGCCACCGAGGGAGGCTCCCCAGCCCTGACTCCCAGCCGTTGGGCCCACCATGTTCGTGGCGTCTCATCCCAAGCACGTGGCGTCCATCCTGAAGACAAGCCCTGCCTTACCTTTTCCAGCATCTTCTGCCAAAACTGCCTCCACAGGATGATGACAATTATGGCTACCAGGATGAAGATTATGGCCACTAAGCAGCCGATCAAGATGCGGGTGTTGCTGTCATCCACTTTGAGGGTTGGATCTATCGGAAGAGGGACAAGGAAGGTAAACATTATCCTGCATTTTAGGTGCATGTATACAAACCAAGACTTTCAACTGGCCGACCAATTTTGCCTGCACAAGTAGCGCCTCTTGGTTTAGGTTTGCCCCCTTTCCCTCGGAAATACCCTTCGCGTCTCCCTGGATGGGTTACAGTCCAGTCAGGCCGAATTAGTGCACGAGCAGCAAAAGTCCTTCCGGGGCGGCTATGCTGCCTTTTCCCCAGCATTCAAACAACAAATCCTAGCCACTGCAAAATGCATTTCCCTGTAACGGTGGCGGGGTTTGTTTGTGCATGTGCTCTAGAAAGGGACTGCGCCATTGCAAGAATATTACATCACTGATTGGATGGGCACCTGCTGGCTAGGACAGATGCCCATCGAGAGCAATCCCCCATTAATGCAGATGCTTGTCGGTTCACGTGCCCGACAGCGCCTGCGAAACTGCGGCAGGCAAGTTGCGAGATTTTCCTGCTCCGCCTCTCAGCCCATTTCCAGGCACAATCCTAAGCTGCATGTAGCTTCTAAAGACGTAAGCAGTCCTGGGACAGGGTGCCTCAAGACGCCAACTCACCCCTGGAGGTCCTTCCTGGGGTCCCGCTGCTCTTGAAGGTGCTAACTGGGATTGGGACCTTCTCTCTTGTGGTTCACCAACTTTGGAATACTCTCCCCTGAGAGGTGAAGGTTTAGGGGAGCTCACCTGCTGCCACATTTGAAGCCTTTCCGGGACCAGGTGAGAACCTCATTTGCCTATGCCTTTTAGATGGTTTACTCCTGGGTTGTGTTTTTAGCATAACTGCCACCAGCCTATTTTAGCGGCCGCTCTTTTTATTGTTTTATGCTTGCCGATTCTGTATTTCTTTTCTAATTCTTTTGTTTGCTCCTCTGAGAGGCTGAGGAGCGAAATCCAAAGAGAGTGAATCAATGCATAAATCGATGGATGAAGAAATGCCATGTTGCTCCCTTCCCACCTGCCGCCTCTGCCGCCTTTCTGTCAGCACGGAGAGGACCGTGCCACAAAACCAGCCACGTGGCCAGGTTGCGCTCTGACTAACCACCCAGACAAGCACGCAGAGGCACGGCTACAAACTGGCCATGCAGAGCCAAACTGGACACGGCGGAGAGAGCAACCGACATCGGCCGGGTTCACGCTGGCTCTGCAAAGCAGGTTCTGGCGCCGAGCTCAGGGAAAAGGGAGTGCGGGGAGTGGAGTGCGGGGAAGGGCCGGTGCCTTTCACCCACGCGCCCTTTCAATGCTGAAACTGGACAGCCCCGCCAAAGCCTTGCAGAGGACTGGCGCGGACACGTGAAAAAGGCCTCGTCGGTGATCTGTGCCGCATTTCCCCTGCACCTGTTCCTTTCCTCTACCTGTCACACTTACCTCGAGGTATTGAGCATCCTATGCCTAAGATGTGAACAGAAGCTCTGCACTGGAAGAACAGTTCTCTGAGAGGAAGGTAGGTGGACAGTTACTTTGGAAGGCATGGAAGAAGGCAAGGATGAAAGCAGAGGAGGAGGAGGAGGCCGAAGGACAGGGAGGAAAAAGCCTTCAAAAGCCGAGAGAGCGTCATAAATGGAGAGTAGCGCAGAGAAGAAATCTTTCCTAAAAATATGGGGGCATAAAAGCAGAGTATCCAGAGTTGTCTATAGCTAGTGTTCCAAGATATTTTTTTTTTAAATGTGGTGAGTCACAGTGGAGATTTGTCGATCTGTCCCATTTCACAGCATAACTGGCTTCACTACTGAACAACAGGCACCTGTGCCACTTGTCGACCTTTAGGTGCAACCCACAATCCTAAACCCACAGCCTTCCAAACAAGGTTGACAGCATCCCGGGCAGGTTAAAAGCCCTCCTGTCCCGCAGCTCACTAAGCTGGCTGATTTCAGTCGCTTCGCTGGAAGCATTTTGAACGGAGCAGGAATGGAGCCACTTGGGTTGCTTCCCTTCCCTTCCCTTCCCTGCCCCCAGAACCGCCTCTTTGCCCCATCCCAGCCTTCAGCCCTCAGAGACTCAGCCCTGCCAACCAGGAGGAAGGGGCAGGCACGCAGGACTTGAGCTGAAATCCAAAAAATCTAGGACCTTCTAATGCTGCCTGGAAGACCTTCTAATGCTGCCTGGAAGACCTTCTAATGCTGCCTGGAGGGCATCAGATTTCCTATAAGAGCGCATTTCAATTTGGTTCATATGCTAACCACTTAATAGAGGTGTTTTCAGCTGAAAGATCCTTTTGAGTTTAACTACGGTTGGATCCCTCCTTCTTTGGGTCCTTTCCCTCCTCCCCGTTTCCAGCACCAGGCCCAAGGGGCGTTCCTAGATCAGCTTGGCCAACCAAGAGCACAGCCTGGACGCTTCCTGCAAGCAGAGCCCCCAGGTATTTGCTTGTACGCCACTTTCTCTGCTAAAATGCACAGGATGAGAAAACAGGCTAGAAAGCAGGCCAGAGCCAGGTTTTGAATGTGCTTATGACTTGACGGAAAGGATGGAGGGAGGCGATTGTAAGGGCAGTGTGTTAAAATGAGAGCAAGAATGCCTAGCCGCATGCCCTTGCTCAGCTCAGCAAGGCAGGGTATTTTGGAAAGAGAGATGCACCGTGTCATATCAAGCTTCCTGTGGCCCCACCTGAGCCCTGGGTCCCCTCCGCGAGGCTGGGCAGGGCCCCAGAGCGCTGCGTCGGTGCGATCTGCCAATTTCAGGGGAGGAATGGGCACCCGCCAACCCCCACGCCTGCCCAGAAAGCTTGGGCTTGCCCCATGGGGACGTGCCCTGAATTCCGTGGGGCTTGGTTAGGATAGCCTCCTCTACTGGCTCAACTGGGAAAGACCTTGCGCTTGGCCCCCTTTTCCACCCAGAGGAAGGGGAGAGAGCGAGAGAGCAAAGAAGAAATGTCGTGCTGAACCTAAGCCAGCGCCTGCACCCCGCCTAACTTTCTTTGCACCCCACAAGCTCGTGCTTTCTACACCTGCAGTACACATTTTGTTCCTTCTTAAGGCACTCACAGCCACTCCTTCCTCCTTCATGCTGCCACCTCTTTCTCTAATTCTGTAGACTGTGGTTACTTGGTTTTGCACACGCATGTGCGGGCGGGCCGCTTGCCCACCCGCCCAGCAGCGCCACTCCTAACAGCAGCGCTCCGGAGAACGTCCTTAGGCGCTAACTTGGGGGAAGCGGCCTGGACTGCTGACGGGCTCTTCCACAGGATTCCCTCTGGATCACCTGTCTGCATTTCACACAAATGAGAGGCCCCTACCGTAAGTAGTGGGAGTCACTGAAGAATCAGGAAGGGCTCCAGAATTGTTGTACATGGCGGTATCTGGCGGAAGAAGAAAAGTCTCACCAACAAGAAACACGGACAATCACAAACTTGCATTTGCAAGCTCTGGCTGGTTTTGAAACAAGACAGATTCCGTCAAATTCAGTGCAGGGCGGAATGGTAACTCCGAGGACGGCTCGGCTCAGCTCAGCTCCCTGCATCTGCTTGCCGTAACTTCTGTAAGGCACAGGTGCCCAAACCCCGCAAGCCGCACAAGCCCAGGGCCCGATGAGTTGAACCGTAAGGGCGATGCACGATCATGCGATCACATCTAGCCCTTCTGGGCACATTTATTTATTTGGAATTTTTGTATGCTGTCCCATTCGCATAAGCCTCAAAGCCACTGGCAGCACAAAACTAAAACCCAGCCTAGGGACGCTCTTCCAAATGCATCCAAACAGCAGCGCAGTGACAGGGGCAGGTGAGCGGCTCGGTCGAGGCCCACGGAGAGGCACCTCCGCTGGAGAATCCCGCTTTCACGGCTCACTGAGACACAGGAGAGCTGCCTCCCTTTGGGCCGATAATGCCCCAAAGCACCTCCCTTCCCTTCGCTCCCCAAATAACTGTTGTCTCTCAGAGGAGGGGAAGGTGCAGCCCACGCCTGTGACCCACGGGAAAGGAAGGGGCAACCTCCCGCCCCGCCCTCACGCCACACCTGACTGGAAGCTGATCTCGCTGAACATCATCCAGGCATCCGCGAAGTAGAACTGGCACCGGATGGCGCTGGCCATGCGGTGGTGGAGTGGCACGGTGACGAAGCGGGCGCTGGGGTTCACGTCGTCCAGCACCAGCACCGAGGAGACGGGGCTGGGCTCCCACTCGGCGCCCTCCGAGCGGAAGTGGCACTGCACTTCCCTGAAGATCTTCACCCCCCTGGCGAACATGTTGTTGCAATGCACCTGAGTGGTGGAGGCGGGACGAGCGTGTGGGCGCGGGGTGGAGCGCCCCGGCCCTTGTGCATGCAGCACTGCCCCGAGAGGCAGAAAGGTGAGCAGGGCGAGCTCCTCCGGCGGGCAGCATCGGGGAGAAACTCTGCTGCACACGACGCACTACAGAGCGTTGTGCCTCGAGAGAAGTTCGGAAAAGCTTCCCTAGGAAGCAAGCCTCAACGGCTTGGGGCCTTGAGTTCGGGAAGGACTGCAAGCTTTGGCGCCAGGAAAAGCAGAGCGGTGGCGCCACGGCTCCCTCTCCTGGTGTGTCCTAGCTCAGTGCCACACAGTGACACCGCTCAGCAGTCGAGGCGGGAATTACTCAGGCGGCTGGCAGTGCCGAGACCCGTCCCGTCCCGGGTCTGGCTCGTGTCGCAGCCGAGGGATTGAGTCTCCCTAGGTGCAGAGCACGTGTGCACAGGTGAGGCTCCCGGATGAGGCTGCTCCCTGCGGATCCCTCCGCTGGGAAGTATTCACGGGGCCTGGACTGGCTCGTCCTTTGGCGTGCGGCATCGGCGAGCGGGCCGGAGGCAGGGCCGCCGTGCGCCCCCTGTGGCACTCGGCAGGCAAGCGGAACGCGAGCGCCGGCTCCGGCAACTGACCTTCATGGTGGTGAAGTTCCTGATCCGGTCGAAGGCAAAGACCATCTCCACGTAGCCGGTGGAGGTGCTCTCGTTGCACCAGCCCACGTAGTCGTAGCCGGGCCACATGTGGTATTCGTGGGTCTGGCTGAAGTCGTCCAGGCCCGAAATGCCGTCCGTCAGCTGGCCGAGCCCTTCGGCCATGCTGGCGGCAGGTGCAGGGCGGAAATGAGAAGACAGGGTAAGTCCCAGGGTCACCCGAGATGCTCTCAGCCCAGGCCGGCAGCGGAAGCAGAGGGGACATCGCCGCCTTATTTTGCAGGGCAGGCAACGCACGGCGGCACGTTTTGCTCCCGGTTTCCAGGCGGTTCCCCGGACCCTTGGGATCATTTTTGGGTGGGGTGCAGGGACTGCTATGCCGAGGGGCGGCTCCCCATCGCAGTGCTCCCGTCCCCCAAAGCTCTCAAGCAACCACCACCGTGTCTTTGCCATCTCATTTCCATGGAAAATGATCCAAATTGTCACAGGCATTTCCGGAAAATTCAGATGGGTTTTCATTAGGATTAGGATTAGATTGGGAGCTTCACGTGGGAGTTCTTTCATGTAAGCTGTCTCTCCACTCCTGATTCTATCAGGAGCCTGCCATTCATCTGCTCAAATGCCACAATGATGGTTAATAAAACAGCTCCTTGTTAAAAGATGACTTTGTCCCACAAAAATAATATTGTACAAACAATGCGTAAGAACTTTGCCATGCAAAAATGAGCGCCAGTCCTGTGTTTCTGATTGAGCTGGGGGGGGTGCTCAATTTGAGGCTTCTACGGTTGATTGGTGGCATGCAAACGTTCCTTGGTGTAAAAATTCCAGGGGTACCTGGTGGGGTTTGCTCCAGAAGGTCCTAACACTCGAGAGCCAGTGCTGTGAATCAGGGCACTGACTGGGGGCTTGGGAGAACCGGATTTCCCAGCCAAATGAGGACTCACCTGTAACCGTCATAGATGGAATCGTTCAGGTACACCACGCTGCCGCCAGGTAGAACCAGCTGCTGTCCTGCTGGAGCGCTGTATGAAACCAGCCCATCTGTAAAGGGACGGCACAGGAGGTCATGCGGGCGCTGCTGCCGAGGACACCAATTTGGAAAGAAGTCCACAGACGCAGAGCTTGGAGTCTGAGAACGGACTGCCGCGAGGTCAGAGAGCCCGGCGGGCAAAGCACAGGGAAGCCATGTGGGGAACCACGGCTTTGCGAAGGGGCCTTGCCATGCCGCCGCGGTGAGGAGCCCGGCTTGGCAGGATAGGGCCCCCTGGTTGTTTTCCCCATTACGCTCGTTACAGGGCTGTGATCAGCATGGAGGTACTGGGGACGGGGCGCTAAGCCTCTCTGCCTCAGGGCTTCCCCAGCGTAAATTTCCCCCTGCCTTCAAGCAAGACAGGTATCCCGTTCAAATACCTCACCCTTCCCTGGGGGAGGGGGGTTAGCTGGAGAACTGGCAAGGGGGAAGGGTCTAAAAACTCCCATCCACCTGAGCCCAGTGCCTTTTTTGCATAAAAGGAAAAGACAGCTGGACCAGGGGCTGGTCCTGCTATGCCTCCGCTGGCTGGGAGACCTTGGAGCCTCCGCAGGCCGGCCCGGCCTCTCCGCCCCATCCCACCTTTTGCGCTCCTCACGGCCAGCATACTCCGGGGTGATCGCGTGCCCTTGTAGGGCAGTCAAGCAGCGCCCCCTGTGGGCAAGGGAGGCCTTGGCACACTGGAGGGAGTCCTCATGGATGCAGAGGAAGGAAAAAGTAAGACCCAGCATGCTTCGACAAGCCCACGGAGCGTACAGTGGTATCTGGCCCAGTCCACGGGCTGGATGTGCCCCTGTGAAAACTACCCAGACAGCCCCCCACTTTTTAAAGGGCCGGGCCCCGAATTTTGACAGCTTGCTAGCCGTCTAAGCTCCTTTCCCTGAGAAAAGGCAGGGGAGGGGGGACTTGGCATCTCTCCAAGCATCTACAGGTTCAAGAATAAGTGTGCCAGCATTGCAGAGGTTGATTATAAAAAAGCGAAACTGTTTCTTTACGTGCGGATTTGGGGTGGGGGGGAAGCATGACGACGCGGCAGAAGCCAGCCTGCCCAGTTTTGCCCAGGGGCCGCTGGGGCGGTGTGCTCGGGGACCCCAGACGCAGGCCCACGCCTCCTTCAGCACCCCCGCTTTGTGCGCGTGCCGCTGGACCCGGCCCGGCCCAGCGAGGCCGCTCACCAGAGCCCCCCACAAAGGCACGTCACAGCTCCCCAGGCCTGAGACTTCTGGGGGCAGCACGGCTGACTGCGTGGCTTTGCCCGCGGATCCTGGCGCTGGACAGGCAAGGCCCGCCGTGCTCAGAAACGACTCCCCGCCATGACGGGGGCACCCCGAGGGCTGCGGCGCTCACCCAGCCAGGCGCAGCCGTAGAGCTCCACGCGGAGGCAAACGTTCGTGGAGTGATCCGTCACCGGGATGAAGCGGACAAACCGGGCAATGATGGGCGGCGCCAGGTCCTTGAGAACGATGTCATAGGGGTTGGTGTTGCCGTCAAGCACCTGGTGGCGGGGGGGGGGGGGGGGGGGGTGGGGGGCGGGGCCCCCCCCGGGGGGGGGGGGGGGGGGGGGGAGGCAGGTCAGGGGCAGGGCCACCACCGAGGGGGAGGCGCGGCTGGGGTGACGGTACCCCAGCTCTCTCTCACCCATTCGGGCCCCCCGCTTCCATTATGCATTTAATCTGGCTTCGGGAAGGCCTGCAGGCTGCTTCTGCTGCCATGCCAAGATGCCAAGAATTCCTGCTAGCCTAGCCTAGTTCCAACTCAGAGCCGAACTAAATGCTTTAGTTACAAATCTCCTGCCAATCTCCTGAAGTTTGTGTTTGTTTCACTAAATGCAGCTGCAGGATGGGGGGAATAATGCATGGGTTGGAGGGGAAATTCCTGCTACCTTATTTAATTATCCTTCCAATTTATATGCCCTATTAGCCATTACAACATAATCAATAGAATCAACTACTGTTATAAAACCAATCCTAACCATAACAACACTCAATACAACAGTCAGCAATAGAACAATCATTAAAAGCAAGTACTGCTGCTACTAATAACAAAAGAGAAAATGAAATAAAAGGGACAAGTCCAATTAAAATAACATGTATGATTAATTCCATATTCCATACTTCCACTTGCCACGTACCGCTTCCCCACGCCAGTGCAGCTGAATTTTTTAAAAATGGGGACGGGCGCACTGATGGCCTGGCATGATGCACAGGGAGGCTTGTAAAGAGCCCCTTCAGGCTGCGTTGCCCCAGTCCACAGGTGGGACCCGCACGACGGGGTGCTCTTAGGGTGAAACGTTCCCTGCGTGTAACAGAAGCGCCACCTCGGAGGCTCGCTTGCTGAGGAGAACGTGGATCGCTCCGTCCCAGCTACACCGTCCGGAGTGACACGCTTTGGCCCGAGGATGACGCCTCCGCCACCCCCGGTCCCCCGTGTGGAAACGAGGCTGGCCGCACGTGCATGGGGCCGGGGGGGCCTCTGCCCCGGGGAGGGGGCAGACGGCATGGGCGGCACCGCGAGGCACGGCCATCAGCCCCTCACCGGCCTGAACGGCCACCCACGTTCAGCCAGCGGCGGGCTGGCGGCGAGACAGCCTTCCCGCAGGGAATGGGGGGGCCCCTCCCAGCAGGAGCCCCCACGGGGGGGGTCCCCGTGAAACCCCTGAAGGACAGCAAGCGGCCGGGACAGCCAGCAGCTCGGCCGGATCCAGAGCGACTCCCCCCCACCCCCCGCAGCTGACGGCGGGAGCCTCCCTGCAGAAGCCGCTCCCGGAGCGACACGAGCTGGGGCTCCCGCTCAGGCCTGCCCGCAGCCTCAGGGCCCGCGCCGGCTCCGGGCTCCCCCGCCCTTCCCCGAAGGCGCCCCGGAAACGGGGGGTGCTCTCCCGGCGGCCCCCCTCCCCGCCCTGCTCACCTGCTTGCCGCGCCTGGTGCGCCAGGAGACCCAGCGCGTGCCGTCCCGGCTGTAGTTGATCCGGTACATGGGCGCGAACTCGTTGCCGTGGCCGCCGGCGTGGCGGCCCTGGGTGCCCACCAGCGTGATGAAGTGCAGGGCGCGCAGGTCGACCTCCAGGAACTCCTTCAGGTCGTCGGGCTCCACGGGGCTCTCGGGGCACCAGGCGCCGTCCCCCTCCTCCGAGCCGAGCCTGCGGGCGCGGGAGCGCTTAGCCCCTGGGCGCGCTGACGCCGTCGCCTCCCGCCCGCCCGCCCGGGCCCGGGCCCGGGCCCGGGCCCTTCCCGACGTGCAGGCCACACGTGCCGCCCGCCGCGCGGCTCCCCTCCGCCCTGCACGCTGCGCCCCGGGCCAGAGGCGGCTGCTCTCCCGCGCGGAGGCGCCGCGGGGCTTGGCCTGGGGGCGCCGCCTTTGCGGGGAGGGGGCGCGGGGAACGCGGCCCCGATCCTCGGCCGCTCCAGCTGCATCCAGCTGAGATGCCGGCAGCACGTAGGCGAGGGGGGTGGCTCTGGGGCCAAGCATTACCGGGCCGCCTTATAGGACCAGCGCCGGAGGAAGGACGGGCGTCTTACTATCTGGAGAGGAGACGCAGAGGGGGCGGGGCCAGCCTCGCTTACCTGCCGTACTTGGCTGCTGTGGATTCCGACCAGTAGCTGGAGGCAGAAATGTCCTCATCGGGGATGTGCCCACCCGACATGCCCAGGGGGTAGCGGCAGACGGCTGAAAGAGAGCGGGGTGGGGGCAGAGGGGAGCATGGGGCATCGAGCTTCCAGAGCTGGCTTTCTGGAAGTTGTTGTTATTCGCACTCTCTTAGCGGATGATTTCTGAATAGCGGTAACCACACACAGCAATGCAGAGCGTCAGGTTTCCGGATCCTCTTAGGACAAGAGCAGCCTGGCGTCCTTCGGCACGGCGTGGTGTTTTCACCCATCAGAAATACTGGTAGGGACAGTATGGAGAACGTCACTGACGGCCGCATTGGCCTGTCAGCTGAGTAGACCTCTGTGCAGCTGGGGCCCGGCTTAAGCCTGTAAATGTGTCTGAGGGAGGGACCGTTCCGGACACCTGGTCTGCCCTCCGCTGGGCAGGCGCTTGCTGCCTCTGAGCGACTAGCTGCTCAGGTGGGTCCGTTCGGACGCACGTGGGCACCCCTGTTCCAGTCTTTCTGCAGCTGATGGGAACACAGGGATCTCCTCACGGACAGACGGAGTCAGCCTCCAGCAGCTTCTCAGTCCCTCTTCTTAAAGTAACAGCAGCACTAAACCCTGAGCTGGCTTGGAATTTTGGGGTGCTTCCTGAGAAAGGGGTGCAGGCATTTCCTAACACAAAGGCACATATAAGCAACCCTTTTCTGCCAGGATTTGTCTGAATTTTCCCAACACAGTCAATCACCGCAATGAAGCTTTCTCCATGGCCAAACCTGGATTTTTATCTTCCCAGAATCTACAGTCCCGCCCACCTGCACAGGAAAGTTTTGGAACGTAAGAGAGAAACCTGCAATGTTTCAACAGCAGATGAGAACTAAAGTGCTGCATGAAGAGCTCGCAGCCCGAGGATGCTGCCACTGAAACGGGGGAGACCCAGCAGGTCCGGGCTCAGCAACACTAGACGCCTGAGCAAGCCCCGGACTCACCGAATTCTCCCTTCCGGATTGCGGGCTCCCTCAACCTTAAGATATCTCGGACTGCAGCTCCCACAATCCCACAGATGCTGAGCACTGCAGCCCGGCGTAGCTGGAGGAAGGGAAGGCTGCTCGGCTGTTCCCCTTCCCGGGAAGCGGGTCGCAGCCAAGCTGCGTCTGGGGGCGCTTGGTCTCACACTCTCCCAACGTGAGGAACTGCATCCTCTCGCTGGCGCAGCATCCTGGCCACCACCAGGAGAAGGTGGAGAAACGTTCTTCCAAGAGGCTATTTTGGTTTTGCTTTGGCCCTGTGCGTGGCGTAAGGGATGAAAAGACTGTGTGTGAACTGGCTGGCTGCGGTCTAGTTAAGAAGAGTTTCTGGGATCCACCCACAGGCCGTAGTCTGAGGACCATTCCGTGAGCCAACAAGTGATCGAGTGACTCCAGCATAGTTTGTAAATGTTATTTGCACAGCGCTGGATTGCAATGCCATTTGGAAAAGAGCTCGAACTGAGACGTGATGTGGAGATCTTGTTTGGCTAATCATATTTACATCACAATGGCATAAATATTGTTATTGCCATTATTACTACTACTACTACTATTACAGTTGCTAAAGTGAAACAGCGCAAGACCCGCTGAGCAAACAGGGCTTATTTCTAAGTAGCCATTCATAGGATTGCAACGTAAGCTCCACTCTGTCACCGTTCCCTCCTGGGAGCGTGACCCGCAGGACTCGGGGGGGGGGGGTTACCTGAGTAGGCAGAGACTGGCCTGCTCTCCGTCCATTCGCCTCTTGCAGATGGAGAACGGAGGCTGCGAGTCCGCAGGCCCAAGATCACAGACAGACTCCTCAGGAGAGGATGTGTCAGTTCTGATTTTCTTCCCCAACCTCATGCTATCCAGATGTTTTGGGTGCCAACTCTCACCCTCCCCGGCAGATGGCCATTGGTCAGGAATGCTGGGAACTGTAGTCCCAAACACCGTGAGGGGCCCCATTCTTCCTCCACTGCTTCTTGCTGGTCCTCTAGTATGAAGGAGAGGAAGATAAAATCTTGCTTCCTCACCTCCTGCCCCACCTCGATTACAAAGAGGAGAAAACCCAAACGGCGGGTGTGCAGAGCCCCCCAGAGCTCACTGGACGTGCAATTCCCATCAGCACTTTTCCTAAGGATGTACCGCTGGACCTACAGCAAGGAGTTTCCCCACGCAGTAATATTTAGCCTTCCACATTAGGGTGTCCGACTCTTGCCCCATAACATCGGTGCGCTGGGGCAGAGGCTGAGTCTGGCTTGGCCAATGCCACTTTTAGCAAGCCGGGGCGGAGGCCTGGTGCAGAGTGGGAGACGCTTGGCCAGGGAGCACGCTCCCGGCCACTGCGCTACGGGCGGAGCGGCTGGGGCCGGGAAGAGTCAGGCCCATGGGGAGACGGCGCACCGCCTGTGCCGTGTGGAAATGGAAAACTACCGGCGCCCTGATGCGAGACGGCCCTGGCCTTGCGAGAGAGCAGCCGAGGGGCGTCCACTGCCTCTGCACAGCCACCTGAGCATTATTTGTTCATGCGTCGCTGCCAGGAGAGCTTCTCAAAGAGCTGCTTGTTTCAGGGTGTTTATGGCCTGGCTGCTGGAGCCGGCCCAGAACTCTGCCCGTGATGTTCCTGCAGGCTGCTTCACGGCAGGCTGGGCAGCATCTGGTGGGGGGCGGCCGTGCGGGGCGACTCGTGGCCCTCCAGGCTTCCACTGATCGATCTATTTAGCACCTCCGATTTGCCCTGCACAAGGGACTGCAGGCGGCGCAGTGGGTTAAACTGCTGAGCTGCTGGGCTGGGTGATCGAAAGGTCGCCGGTTCGAGTCTGCACAATGAAGTGAGCTCCCATTGCTCCGTCCCAGCTCCTGTCAACCTTGCAGTTCGAAAGCATGCAAATGCAAGGAGATAAACAGGTACCACTTTGCTGGGAAGGTAACAGCATTCCTGCACCTCGGTGTTCAGTCATGCCGGCCCCATGACCACGGAGACCGTCTGCGGACAAGCGCTGGCTCCCTTGGCCAGGAAACGGAGATGAGCACTGCCCCCGAGAGTCAGGCATGGCTGGACTTCACGTCAAGGGGAAACCTTGACCTTGACCTTACTTGCCCTGCAGCCGCCTCACTGCAGCCAGAGGGGAGGGACTGTGGGCCCACACATCCAGGGGGTCTCAGGTTGCTCGCCCCTGGTACCCCAAGACACTCAATCTGGCCCACCCATCTGCAGTAGCTATGTAACTCCAGCACTCAGGGGCCCTGCTGTGAAGTTCATGGACACGAGATTCCATGAGGACCTGAAAAAGGAGAGTCTGTGGCCACTTGGGGAACAATTTTTAATGTGTCACTGGTTTTTAATTATGGTTTTATTGTGTTTTTATCTTGTGGTTGTGAGCTGCCCAGAGGTGCTGTGGCATAACTGAGTGGCATACAAATGTTTTAAATGCATAATAAATTAATTTACTTCCAGAGTTTGCTGCCACGTGGAAAAGGGCTGTTCAGTGGCTTGAATGGCTTGCGGGGTGGGGCTGCATGCACAGAGAGATCTCACGGCGCGAAGCTGCCAGGACCACCTGCCCACCCACCTGCAACTCACTGATGTGCTTCTGCAGGTAAGGAGAGAAGAACAGCGCAGAACATTGCAAGCGCAGCCGCACCAAGAATTTGCATGAGGAGGGGGCGATCCTGACGGTGCTGCTTGCAATTCCTTCTCACTCAAGCCTGCAAGGGACTCAGCCTCTTTCTCTGCAGCCGCCACCTCCACCGAAGAGCCCGCCTCCCTGCCCACAAGGTCCCCTTTCTTGATCAGTCTCCCTCCTAGGCATTGCTTGGCGGCGTGAGTAATTCAGGGATTTCTGTCTGCAAAGGCCCCCATTCCATGTGCTCTTCTTCTCGGCATCCACGAGTCCTCCGCATGCAACAGAAAGAAATCGGGATCGCTTGTGCCCAGCAGCAGGCCAGACGGGCAGCTGGTATCCTGTGCTAATGGCAGACAGGGGGCGTAATCTGGAGCAGCAGAGGGGGCGATAACGCTTTGCCCTCTTACTTCACCAGTCCCGCAGGTCTATTCCCCAAATGGGCCCTAGACAGACATTTGCTATGGCTGGGAGAAAAGCCGAGGTGGGGGGCTTAGAAGAGGGAAGGGTTATGCAAACACCCTTTCCAGATTCCATCCTCTACCTGCTCTTTCTGTAGTAGATTTAATTTGTGCAAGCTATTGTATTTCTTAACGTATGCATGGTAGGCATATCATGAGCAGAGCCGGCTGGAGCTGGGGTCAGACTAGATGGCCCGGGAGACCCCTTCTTACTTGCTCTGCTTCTATGTTTCAATGTTAATGTGTGTTTAAATTTGGTTTAAAATTTTCATGGTGCTCTTCTCATGATGTTTTTAATACTGTTTGTATTTTATATTGTATTTTTATGTGGTGTTGTAAACCACCCAGAGAGACTTCAGCTATTTATTGGATGGAGTGGCCTTTCCATTCCTTTCTTCCACCTATTTGTTAAATTTTTATACCGCCCAATAGCCCAAGGCACTTGGGGCAGTTAACAAAAGTTAAAAACATATGAACAAAGAGAACAACATATAAAACAATGCCAAAATAAAACCACAGCAGCTGCAATCCAGTCAGTACAGAGATTAAAAATTTAACTATTAAAGTACTGGGCAAATCAAAAGATGTTCACCTGGCACCAAAAGGAGTGGAGAGCAGGTGCCCGGAGAACCACTCCAAGAAGCTCATTTCTGAGACTGCTTCTTGTGACCTCCCTTTTAGATGGTCTCTTAAAAATTGCCTAACATGTGAACAATAATTTCATTTTTTAAGAAAAATCTGCATACTTTAGCCAGAATTGCCTCACCTGGACAACTTCCTGGGTGTACCTGCTGTCAAAACACAGCAGGTGCCAGCCATGGGCACTGGCCCAGAGAGGTTCCCAACAGGTTTTATTTTTGCCTTTGCGTGGCCTTGGGGACTGCCGAAAGGCAAGCCCTCAGTCCATAGCGAAGGCGCAAGCGATCTCTGCTCGTGGAAGGTGGGTTGGGAGATGTATCCCATTTGGCACCCGGATTCTCAGCATTTTTTATGTTCCCCTGACGGGTCCCCGTGCTCCCAGCTTTTGCACCCTTGCTACTCAGAAAGGAGTGCTGAATCCCACTCTTTCGCTGGAACACAATCACTTCAAAACACTGGCTCAATTTAAAAGGGATTTTCTTTTCAACAGCTCCCACTGGATTTTCAAAGGGGCATGTGCAGCCTTAAGTTCATGACACTTGATGACCTTTCTTCAGCCCAACCCTTCTAAGTTCCTGGAAATCCCAGCCAGATTCTGGGATTCTTGCACTTAGTTTAGGGTAAGTATGTGTCCCTGTTCCAGACCACGTGCCAAGAAGGTAAGGTTGAAACCCTTCCCCTCTCAGCTGCTCCGCTCCCTGAACTCCACCCACATACTCCTGCCTGTGGGTTAAGAAAGGGAGAAAAAAGCCACATGCAATTTGAATCAATGGAGGCCTTTTTTCTTTTGTAACCTCCACATGAGGGGAGGGGCAGATGGAATTTCAGGAATTAAGCAGCGAAGAGGAAACAGTTTAAACCTGACCTCCTAGTGAGCTGTGGATTGGAACAGCATGCATTTAATGTAAAATGAAAACAAAGATGAGTCAGTTGTGTGTGACTCTGTGAAAGGAATGTGCAGCTTCACTACCACTGGAGCCCGCACTGCAGCAGGGCATCCAAATATCTACGGGGAGACGCAGTGCTACGGGAAGCATTAGTGGAAGTATTCCTTCCAAATCACAAGACGTGGTAGTTCCCCTATGCTCCTCACTAGTCAGACCTCACCTGGAACACCGTGTCCAGTTCTGGGCACCAGGATTTAAGAAAGATGCAGGGAAATTAGAAAGGGTCCAGCGGAGGGCAACACAAATGATCCAGGGTTTGGAAACACTGCCCTGCGAGGAGAGACGGAGAGAACTGGGCAAGTTCAGCCTTGAGAAGACTCAGGGGGGACATGATATCCCTCCATAAGTACCTCAAAGGCTGTCACAAAGAGGAAGGTCAAAGTCTCTTCTCACTGATACCAGAGTGTAGGACATGGAATAATCATTGCGACAACCCAGATTCAGGCCGGACATCAGGAAAAGCTTCCTCACTGTCGGAACAACGCGACAGTGGAACCAGCTGCCTGGAGAGTGGGGGGGCTTTCCCACACTGGAGACACTCCAAAAGAAACTGGACAGTCACCTGAGTGGGACGGTGTGACTTGGTGTCCTGCACCAGCTGCAGGTTGGACTTGATGCCCTTCTTGGCCCCTTCCAACTCTGCAGTTCTATAATTCTTACAGGTTGGATGGGTGAATCCTCTGAGGATTTTCTGCATGAGCATGGAACTGCCACACAGAGAAAGATGGCTGTAGAGCACCAGTCTATGGAACAAAGACCTTCTACAAAAACAATTAACTACAGTGCTTTGCCGAGAGGCTTCCCAGTCTCCGCAGCCAGGATCCCTCTGGGAGGCTCAACAGGGTCACACGCCGCGTCCCCCTTCCCTGGTGTCCGTGGCGTGCCCTGCAGCCTGCCCCCTCACCCCTCTGTGGGCCTGACCCCCAGAGCTACGCCGTCGGGGCCTCACCTGGATTGACTTGCGCTTTCACGGTGCTCCGGAAGTCCGGCGGCGGCAGCAGCAGCAGCGGCAGCAGCAGAACCATCGGGGCCTGGAGAGGAGCGCGCATCTTCAGGACTCCGCACAGCCCTGTTCCTCTGGCAGCCGAAAGAAGAAGCGAGAAAATGCATCATTAGAACGGCGCTCCTGCGTCTGCTTCCCCAAGAAAAAGCTTCATTCAGCAGCTCGGTGGGACGCAGTTTTGAGTAAATATGCAGAGAGCTGTGAAGGGCACGTTAAACGACCAGGCAGAAAGCTCTGCCTACACTAGCAATGAAAAGACTCCACGCAGCTTCTCCATCTTTCCCATGGAACCGAGTGCGACCGAGAAGAGGCGGTGGTGGGAAACGGGGAGGATCCCCAAGGGGTGTCCTTTCGTTCGCAGCCTTCCTGTTGGCTTTGGGGTTTCTGGTTTTTCCATCGCGCTCTCTGTGTTGTTTAGTTATCTACAGAAAATGGTAGGACAGCCCGTCTGGGAATGTGGAACGTGGTTTCACGAGGACACACAAGACCGCAAGCGCCGTCTCTTCCCCGTCACTGTTGAGTGAAGCAACAGAGGTTTGAGCCGGCGCCTCGAGAAGATGTGGACAGAAAAAGGCAACTTAGGCCAGGGAGAGGGAGCCGGCTTGCGGATCCAGACTGAGCCTGGGATGCTTCCGTGGGAGCGCTGGCCATGCGCCCCTTGGCTCCATGAGGGCTGGCTCACCAGCGGCTTCTGCTCCTGAGGATTATCACTGTGGCCCTGGGAGCACACGCCCAGAGGAATCCCACCGGAACTACCAGGGGCTGTCTCTGCAGAGGCTCTGGGAAGTCAAGACGATACAGACTGCCGGTTAAGAGGAGCGGCTTGCAAAGGGCCTGTGGCTCTGCCGATGACCCCTGGACTGGCCTCGGGTTGTCTCTGGGCCCAGCTAGACCATTTGCTCATGATTTAGTGCATTTCCATACAACTTAATACTAGACTGCCTGTCAAGGGCTTCCCTGTGGGGACACGCCGTGGGCGAAACACGCTCCCCGAGGAGGTGCGCCTGGCGTGGTCGGAGTTCTCGTTGAGGCACCAAGTGGAGCCCCTTTTGTTTGTCTGAAGTTTTAACAGAGAAACGGATTTTAATATCGTTTTTACTTGGGCTGTTTTATGCCATTTACTAATTTTAATCACTTAATGTTCTCAAATGTTGTGTATTTGGTTTTACTTGATTCTATTATCATGGTGTTTTATATTGTTTTTATGTTATAGAAACAGAGCGAGTCAGAAGGGGCCTCCCGGACCATCTAGTCTGACTGCGGCTCTAGCCGGCTTTGCTCATGATACGCATTATGTTGTTGTGTTTAGTAATATAGTGGTTTTTAACTGTTATACAAAACTCTTATTGTGTATTTTATTCTGTAAACCAGACAGAGAGCCCTATGGGTGACAGCAGTATACAAATGTAATAAATAAATATAACACACAAACAGAATCTGGCAATATCAAATCTAAAACAGAGTGAAATGGCCACACGCTAAAAACAAATAAAAGCCAGCAGCAAAGAACAGGAAGGGACTAAAAGGTACCACCAGGCTTTTAAATGGAAAAATGTGGGGTTTTTTCTGCATGAGGCATTTATCACCTCACCATTCCCCACTCACGCTTGTTCACCGGCTCTCTGAGCTTCAGTCAAGCTTCTCCCGGTACTCGGCCCTTTGAGCGAGGTTTCCTTAGGACGGGGAAACACAGCGCGTACTGGTGGAAACGAGCTTTCTCTCCACCTCAGTTATCAGAGTTATGCGGAGCAAAGTCTCTGCCCCTTCAGGTATCTGCTGCAAGCCATTTAGAGTTTCCAGAGGCAGCAGCGCCTCGAATCAGGCCCAGAAACCGACCGGAAACCAACACAGGTCACAAAGCACAGGTGTAACACGACCGTATCCTTGCGAGCCAGCAAGCAGCTGAGCAGTGGCTTGCCACTGAGGGCTTTACCTTCGACGGCAGCATAAACTATACATTCAGATAAGTCGATACTGATAATGCACCCTTTCTGGCAGGCTTCCCCAACCTGGCGTCCTCCAGATGCGCTCTCAGGATGGCCAGCAATTACAAAACGTGCAGGCCAAGCTAAATGGGGGGGTGCCAGGTTGAAGAAGGTTGCTTTACGGAAAGTCCAGGCACCTCCAGACAAGCAAAGGAGGCAGGCAAAAAGGAGCGCCCCACCCCCGCCCCCCGTGATGCAGACTGAGCCTTGGCCTCTCATCTCTCCCCAGTCCATGGCGTGGCCGGAGCATCCACAGCCTCGCCTGAACAGCCTCGCCAGAAATGCCAGGCAGCTCTGAACTAGCGTGAGGCACGAAACGGGATCCTGCAGTGTCCCCAAGCATTACTGCCACGGGCCAAGCAGTCACGTTAAAAGCGCTTGCGGCAGCCACTGAAATCCTCCGCTGCCTGGAAGCAGCTCAGTGGCAGAAGGGCCGCCGCCTCCTTCCGTGCAGGTCGCAAACACGCTTGGCTGCGACCAGAGGGACGCCCTTCCCCGTGGCACTGCCATGCGCTGCAGCTCCGGCCGGGAAAGCTCAGTCCTCCCTTTACGGATGGCAGCAAAAGTCCACCCCCCCCCCGCCCGCCCACCCACCGTTTTCTTTTCAGGTTTTTTCCCCAGGAAAGTTTTGACCCTTCTCGAAGCCTTATTGTCTGAACAACTTTGCACGCAATGCTTAATTTGGCTGCTCTTGGTTCTGCGTTGCAGTTCCTGTATGTGGCTTTTAATCTTCTTGGACTCTTTTGAGAAAAGGAGGCATGGAAATGTTTAGCTAAGTCCGTATTAGGTAAATAAAACATTTTCACCTTTGCTATGTTTAAGAGATGGCAAAGTGGGCACCAAGCAAAGCTTTTGAGTGTGCCGTCTTTAACAATGCAATCCCAGAGCGGATTCCAGTTAAGGCACACACATTTGGAAAAAATGTAGTCCCCCTCTTGCATAATCGTGGGAGATATTTTTCCAAATAGAAGGAAGCACATGACCGTGGAAGAGAAAAAAAGAGAACTCAAGAGAACATGGACTGGCATTAAAAATGCTATGTACAAATTCAGAAATGGTCACTATTGCTTCGACAGAAATGTAGCCCGGCTCACTCTAGTGGGGAGGACTGGCCAGGTGAACTGTGTGCCAGCCAGGTGCGAATTGTTGTGGGAAACCGCAGGGCCCTGTCTTAGCTCCTCTAACCCTTAGTGGAAGTAGAACTGCAAGCTAAATAAAAGGACTGGGTGGCAGCGTAGGTACGTACCTGCACGGACAGGCCAGGAGAGGTGCATTTGGACCCTCGCTCTTGCACAGATTCTGCCCACACTTTGAAACTAGTTTACCTGAAACCACATTTCAGGCTCACATTCGGCCAGGGCAGAAATAAAATACCTCCTCAGATGCCAATGCTCTGCTTTTCCAAGCCTGACCTGACAGAGTACACAGAAGTCAGGATGACTTCTAGAAATCTCCGTGGCAAAGGAATTTTCCAGGGGAAACAGAGCAAGCTTTTACTATCCCCCTCTTACTTGTTTGGCCTGTGACACCTTCAGAGATAAACTGAAGGGACCATGAAGAACCCAAGATCTTGGACTTGTTGTAGCTCACAGGTTGAATTTGAGTTGGAAATGATGTGGCTGCAAAAATAGCCACTGCTATGCTGGGCTGCATTAATAGAAGTATCACGTCCAAATTCCAAGAAGCGCTAGTTCTCCTTGGCTCAGCACTGGTCAGGCCCCACCTGGAGTATCGTGTCCAGTTCTGGGCACCAGTTTCCGAAAGATGCAGACAAGCTGGGAAGGGTGCAGAGGAGGGCAAGAGGGATGATCTGGGGTCTGGACACAAAGCCCCACGAGGAGAGGTCAACGGAAGTGGATATTCCCAGCCTGGGGAAGGCCACGGGAAGGTATGACGGCACCTTGCGAATAGCTGAAAGGCTCTCAGACTTGTGGAATAAAGGTGGTGCAGCCGGCAAGCCCCTTCTGCGGCACATGAGGAGGAAACCAGATGAGGCTTGCACGGCGGCTGTGCGGGGCTCGGTTCCTGGTGAGCACCACACAAATGCTGATCGCCTGCTCCCTGGGATTCCTCACACACCCCTAGTTAGGGGCCCAAGGTGGAAGAGTTTGCGATGGCCCAAATGCAGGAGGAGCACAAACACAGAGCGGCGCACGAGGCGCAGTGCAGGTGGCTTTGGGGTGATGCACAGGACAGAGTCAACCCGGGAGGGACACCAGGGCCCCGTGCGCGAGGCAGGTGTTGCTGAATGGACTGGGATGGTGGCCACAGTGCCACCGGGTGCATTCAAGTGGGAAGTGCCAAGGAAGTCCAACATGGCCATATCTGACAGCTCTGAAATGAGGGGACTGGGAGCTGAATGGGGAGGTCGGCCGAGCTCTGCAAGGAACTGGGCAGCGATCAGAGGACACTCCGGGGGGAAGCAGGCTGGAAGCCCTCCACATACGCATTTCCCAGTCCCCTGGCGGTAGAGAGTGTCCACCTGGACCTCCAAAAGGCTTTGGACAAAGACCCCCCACTAAAGACTCCTGGGGAAACTTAACAGTCATGGAATAATGGAGTGGAGGGCTCCGTTTGGATGCCAGGAAGCACGCCATACCCCGAGGGTGTGGAATGGGCTTCCACGGGAGGTGGCTGAGGCCCCATCGGTGAGGGGGTCCAAGGACAGGCTGGACGTCCACATGGTGGGCACGTCGTGAGCAGAGCCGGCTGGAGTGGAGGTCAGGCTAGGTGGCCCGGGAGGCCCCTTCTGACTCGCTCTGTTTCTCTGTTTCTAATGGATCAGTAATTAAAGAAGAGAAAGCAGGCAGTAGGATTAATAGTAAATGTAAACAATGAGGTCCCGCAGGGATGTAAATTGGGATCAATGCTTTTTAGGTTATTCATGAAAGACCTAGAATTGGGAGTGAGCCAGATTTGCTTTTGCCATTAAGTCATTTACAGTGGTTAAAACCAAAAGGGACTGAGAGGATCCCTTCGCTCTGGATGAACAGGCACCAAAATTTATACTGTTAAATTATATTGTTTTAGAGGATGTTATTTATGTTTGTGAGCCGCCCCGAGGCTTCGGCGAATGGGGCGGCATAGAAGTTCCCTCAATAAATAATAAAATAATAATAATAATAAATGCGAATGCGGTTCAGACAAGGCAAGCCTCACTGGAGAAGACAATCTGGCAAGGAAAGGTCAAAGGAAGAAGAAGAAAAGGCTAAATATCAGATGGAAAGTCTCCATAAAGGAAGTCTTGAGCTTAGAAGAAACGAGCAGGGCTGTCATGAACAGACGTTTTGGCTGGTAGGAGACGGCACCAAACAACAACGACGACCCTAATGGGAGAACCTGAGGTCATCCCATGAAGCTAAGTGGTTGGAGGCGAGTTAGTCAGCATGGTTAAGTTAGGGAATTCACTGCCACGGGAAGTGGCAATGGCCACCAATTTGGATTTAAAGGGGTTCGTACAGCTTCAGGCTGGAGAAAGCTGTCCACGGCCACGAGCCCCGACGGCTGCCTGCTCCCTCAAAATCAGGAGCAGCTGGGGAACATGGGCAGGAGGTGCAGCCGCCCTCCTGTCCTGCTTGCGGGTTCTCGTGGGCAGCTGGCTGGCCAGCACATGAGCAGTATGCGGCCCTAGATGGTCCAATCCAGCAGGCGCTCGGTTGCTGTCAGACCCTGGGGTTCCTCCCTTCGCACTTTCCAAGCCACAGGCCCTCCTAGCAAAACATTCTTTATCGGCCGAAGCGTTTTCCAGAAGCACCATCAGGCAGAGCAAGTCTCTGAGCATGCACAGAGTGGTCTGCTGAGCCCAATCTAGTATGGTGAAGGTGACATTTGACTTGGCTGGTCACACTTTTTGCCGAGCGATCCAGGGCTTCATATTGTCCACTTACGATGAGTGGAGATGCGGCTTGTATTGCAAAATGGCACCGCCTCCTCTATGGGATCTTAGAGGGAGCCCCTGTATCGCTTTTCATCGGCAACCCACGTATCTATTCCCACTCTTTCCATCTTTTTTCTTAATGCAAAAAAAAAATCAGCTCAGGATAGAAAGAAAGCTGGAAAAGCTGTCCTTCGACTGGTAGTGCAAAGCCCATGAGAAGCCATATCCGGGGTCATGCCAGCTTAAACTTAATCTGGGCAGAGAACAACTTCCTACCCAGGCGCTCTTTGAGAAACGAGCAGCTGCTGTGGGTCTGGAACACCCAGAGTATTTTGGGTTGCATGAACTAGTAGCAGAGGAAGAAGACAACGCTGGAGAAAAATAATTTTGCACCACCTGAATCTGGGAGTCTATTCCTGACACCCCCTCCATCCACCAGCACAACCTCCCACTGTGCATCTATTCATCTTTTCTCCTGGTGTAGCATCCAAAATTTAGCTTATGGTTTCTCTCTCATAAACGAGATGCTCTCTCTTGGTCAAAGGAACCAGTGCGCTTCACGCAGCATAGAAACACTTCTGAAGAACAGCAAGACGATATATTCCCAAAATGCAGGATCCCACTGTTTCCCTTTTCTGGTTCCCAGAAATCTTAGGGGCAGCTGAAGGTCCAACATATGCAAAACTTAATTTGAAAGTCGCTGTGCTTCTCTGGCAGTGTGGGCTTTATCATGCAAATAAAGTTCTTACAGCTACTTTGGATTTTGGAAGCAGTACGTGTGCAGGGACACGTCCTTACTCAGGTCTAAAGCAGCTGTTGAGCTTTATTAAAAAGTGTACACCATACTCAAAGATCACTGAGAATACAACACCTGCTAAAAACTCGATTACTGTACAGTATCATTTCTCTGTGCTTTCTGAAAGTTTTCTCTCATTCTCCATTATGGATAACACTTCCCCAACAATGCAGGCTTCCTTTTACCGATATGCCAAGGAAATGGTGGTTTATTCCTAATTCCCAGCAACCCTCCCAAAAAGTCCAGCCTGCTGTGGGGGCTTGAAGAAAACTGTATGCTGGTGATGACAGTCTCCTTGGCTGCCCTTCAGTAGGAAAGATACAGCAGCAGGGGCATGCGAACCCTGGACTGTTTCGACTCAGCCTGAGTCACCTCTGTGGCTTCTCCAATGCACAGCTGCAGAGAACCGAGTAACAACTTCATGAAAACAGTCTGAGCACCTGTACCAAATGAATCCCGTAAGAGCACAGATCTGCTTCTTCCTGGGCTGGGACAAACCCCCGTCTATACCGATTGGCACAGGGTCATCATGCTTTCAACAATCACGTTTCTCAAACCTGGCCAGCATGCATGATCGTCAAAGTTGTCGACTCTGTCACACAGCAGGAGCTCTGTTTGCCTCATGGTTACTTTTCATGGCTCATCATGGCAAGTTTGCAGTGAAGCAGGTTCAGCGATATTCCCATTTTACAGAGAGAAACCTGAGGCGGGGAGTTTCTTTGCGTCGCAGTGTTTGCAGGTGGGACGTGCCGCACACCTTTTGCATTCTGCGGCAAGGGGTGCAGTGCCAAGGGCAAGCGACAGGGTGAGAACTGGCCCCGCGAAAAGGCGAGTCGCCACAGTAGCCAAAGGCCAAGGAAGAACTTGAATCCTGGCTGACCAGGACAAGTCCAGCACACAACCTACCGCACAAACCACAGTTTGCTTATCAAGCGGCATCCAACAGTGGCAGTATACATAAAGGCACTCTGCCCGTGCCTGGAGTTCTGCTCTCTTATGGAAGTAAGAGCAGCCCCTATGGACCAGCACATTGTTTCCTCCCAAGAGTGTCCAGCCAGATGATTCTGGGAAGTCCACAAACTGGGCAGAAGCTCATGGTTTATCCCCAGCAAACCAGCATCAATGGCACATGCTGCAGTTTCTGGAGCTCCGCGCAGATTTCATGGAATGGCATCCTGCGCCAGGTCCCATCCCTGGTCCAACGGGAAGCTCGGCCTCCTCAGATGGACCCAGAAGGCTCCCACGTCCTGGGAAGGCCCAGCCAGCAGCATTCCCTTCCGGGAGCCCCAGTGGGCAGACCATCCTGCAAGTGCCAGCTTCCATGCTGGGCTGGCGAGGCGTCACCCCGGTGTATGGACACTGCCCACAGATCCTCCTTCTGTTCTGTTGCCGGACGCCCTTCCAACCCCCTAGGCCAGGGGCCTGCGCTGCATCCCGAAGCCGATCCTATCCCTTGATGGAGTGCTGCATGCCGACCGGCCTTCTTCCGCTTGCCCCAAACCTGCTCCCCCTGGTGCGTGCGCACACGCAGCTCTGCCCCAGGAGGAAGGCCTCCGTCCACCCGCTTTCGCTACACCTGGCGCAGCCTGTTCTTGAGGCGCATGTTCCCTTCTTTCACGCATTCAAAGCCCTCCGCACTGGTAATACATCAGCACACACGAACCGGCCGCTGGGGAATCCAGTAGAACCTCCAGCAGTTGTGCTGGCAAACCCAGACAGGCCCCGGCCACAAGTTTCACCGTGGGGCGCATGTTAGAGGCATCCCAGAGCTGCGCCTAACCAGGGGCAAGCGCACACGCGCGAGCCCCCTTCAGACGTCCTGACGCCCCTGCGCGCGTCAACGGCCGCGCTCCGCCGCGCTCGCGCCCCCCCGGGAGGCGTCCGGCCGAGCTGCGGCGGCCCTGCGAGGCGTCTGGGACGGGGCCCGGCCGAGGCTGGAACCGCAGCCCTGCCAGGAGACGCGGCCGGCGCCACCAGCGACTGGCGACGCGGCGGCAGCCCGCCCGGGACCGTCCCGCGGCGCCCGCGGCC